ACATAAAGCTGCAGCTTGGTCCCTTCTGGGTGAACCCTGACCCTGATTAACCCCAACAATCCAGCTCAGACTGTTATATAAATAGCCACTGAGGCTTAGCATTGCTTCCCATGCCCGTCTCAGAAAGAGGGTTGCTACTTTTAAATTAGCCGGGACTTCACTTAGCTTCCATGTGATGCCAAAGGAAACAGTGAAGTGCACCAAAAGCTAACTTCAAATGAACACCTGGTAAGAATCCAAACTTGGTTGATGCCTCTCCAGGCCAACTGTTTTGGAAAAACATATTATCCCTAAAGAAAAACCACCCACCTCCTCTCAACCTCCCACTCCTGGAATGATAGGCAGGAAAGGCTCAGGGACAAATTAACATGGTAAAAGATCTTTGCACTTCCTCGGTAGAACTCAGGGTGAGTTCACATCGGACAGGATGAGGCAACTCCCAAAGGGATGCTCTAGCTCTGTCCCTTCTCCTAGATTCCAGGGGTTCAAGGAGTCGACATGCCAGGGATGGCATGGACTCTTGAAACTATCTGACCCCAGGTAAACATCTCCTCCAAGTTGGAGCCCATCATCCCCCTCACTCCCAACTGCAGCTATTGTTGTAAAGGTGACAAGATGCCCGGTGTGGTAATTTGGACTCTAGAGAGAAGTCAAGAAAATCCTCTGTTCATTATATCACAGTCTGATGTTAAGGTTTGCAGTGTTACCTTTCTAGTCCTTTTCTTTTTGGAATGTAATTGATTTCTCAATAATATTGCCTTACATATCTTGCAGACACACTAGTATTTTTACACTGTGAAATTTATGTCAATTGAGTAAGCAGTCCTTGTAAATTATAGGAACTTAAGGATGCTATCAAAACAATGGGATCAGAAGCCCAAGACTACCTGCTAAACTTTCCGTGGGGGTGGCGAGGGGAAGAGGGAGCTTTAGCTTTTTAAAGAAATTTCATTTTTTCTAAAGCTATTAGGTAAATCATAAGCTTTGAGAGGACTTTGGAAATGCACCATAACTGGCGACTTATGAAGACAGTATTGGAAAGAATCTTAACAACAACTTGCTCTTCACTTCCAGTTCAATAATCCATGTTTGATGGATGATTTCTTAGAGGATGATACACCCAGTGGCACTGTGTTAGTCATGAATCTTCTATGCCATGGCTTTCACGGATATGCTGGAAAGAATACCTAAGCCCAGTGCTACCAAAAGCTTCCTAGGAATGGAGCAAGTGATTTCTGGGAGGGCATGTTGGCTCCTAGCACGTGCGTTACAGCATTTTCCTTATTGCTATAAGGTACCTGAGGTCTTAGATGCCACAAGCGAAGGGACTCAGCTATGCAGTACCTCCAGACACCACGTGGGGAAGGAGAATGAACTCATGAAGCCACCACATCAATTAATGACTTTCATCGCTGTGGTTTGTGTACACCAAAGCCAAGTAAAGCAGTAACTAAAAAGAATGGGATGAAACCATGCAACGGCCTAAAATCAAAGATGGAGAAAATTAAGTGCTTAGAAAACTCAACTTTCCAGCATTTTCCTATGTGACCTCCCAAAGTTAGCCACATTGGAGGTGGCCACTGTTCCAGGAGACTCCTGCTTGTGTGGTGCGGAAAGGACTCCCTGCCCCCACTTAAGGACTTGTCCAAGGGGGATATCATTTCTTTGTTAAAAGCCCCCAGCATTCTCTACTTGTATGGTTTTATTTATTAGAGTCTATCGTATGGCTTGGGAAGGAAGCACTGATCCTTGTTTTCCACGTGCTTTACCAACTTGCGGTGCTAAAGGTATTTTATCATCATTTGCCCTTTCTGGTTTGAGGTGTCAGGTTGGCCCTTCTGGAGTGGACAGATGACTGCATATTTCAAGGGTACACTAATTAACACATATTGAGTGACTAGGCATCTGAGTGATTCATTACGCTACGATTTTCCCACCTGCAGTGTCCCCATTCCTTTTCCCTCGGTCATCTCGGCAGGAAATTGCTACACTCTCTCCCGCATGGGTGATGAATCTTGGAAGCACTTCAGCAGCTCGTGGCAGGGCCCAGAACGGGGTCCAGGGAAGTAAAAGTAAATACCAGCCCTTATTAGGAGATCCTGGCCTCGGCAGTGCACTTGTCCCACGCACACGCGGCTTCCTGCTCTGTCAGAGAAAGCGGTCTCCCAGGGTCGGCTTCCTGAGATTCAGGAACTCCTGCAGGCCAGCGTTGCTTCCTTCCTGACCCCTAGCGCACACTTGTTTCAGGAGGATTTTAGCACAGTTGCTGACGCTCACCGTGTCCTGTGTGTGGCCACAGGAGGAACCTGGCTGGGCGCTGCAGAGACGAGATAACAGCCTGGGGGAAGTGCGGCAGCTGCTCCTGCAGGCCTGTTCTACACATTCACTTCCCAACAGTCACGGCTCAGCACCCGGATGCAGCGAGTGGATAGAGGTTGGATTTTCCAGAACTGTTTCAGCCCTTACCTGGGGCTGGATGTGATGATGTTGACTGTGGAGGGAGGCGGTACATCCGATCTGCTTGTATAGGGATCCCAAAGGTTTTCAGCTCTTTTGTGATTTTTATTAAGTGTCTATGAAGTGCTCAGAAGTGAGCAGAGGTGCCAACGCAATTCACAATTTTTACACCAAACCATTTGCTTTTGTCACTTCATGTTTAGGAAGTTTCTGTGCCTCTGAACACAGGGCCTCTATGCACTTTCAGAATGAACCAGTGGGGAGCTGGCACTACGGTACAGTGGGTTAAACCACCTCCTGTGATGCCAGAATGCCAGGTGGGCACTGGTTTGAGTCCCGACTGCTTTACTTCTGATATAGCTCCCTGCCAGTGCACCTGGGAAAGCAGAGAACGGCCTAAGTGCATGGGCCACTGCCACCCACGTGGATGGAGATCCAGGCCCTGGCCTTGGTCTGGCCCTGCCTTGGCCATTGAAGCAATTAGATAAGTAAACTAGAGGAAAGAAAACCTCTTTGCCCCATCTCTATAACTCTGCCCTTCCAATAAACAGATACATTTTGGGAAAATAAATAAAAAGAAAGAACAGAATGAGTGAACTTGGTTGAACCAGTGCAGCAAGATTCCACATGTGTACAGGCAAGAGAGGCCAGGTGTGAACAGGGTGAAATTTCTCCTCTTTGATGCCAGCAGATTCCTGCTCTATTTGGGCAGGTCCTGCTCTCTGGGCCCACACTGCCTGGCTATCTTGGTGCTAAAGTGGGGCTCTTGCCACAGCATAGTGGCAGTGAGTGCTCTTAGGCATGAAGGCATGGGCCTTGGGGTGCACATACAGGTAATGCACAGTAACTTCAGCTTTCAGAGCGTGCAGGTGCAGGCCTTGAGTTTGGACAAATGCACCTGGTCATGGACTCACTGCCATGATCACAACAGACACTATGTCTGTGGCCCCAGAGTGTCTGCCTTGCTCTTAGTGGGCAGCCCTTCCCCACCAAACCGCGGCACTCTGGTCCAAATCACAGGCCTGAGAGTGGACCTGTTTTATTGCATGCCTTCTCCCTGTATCAGCACCATCCCCAGCCCTGGCTCCAGCCAGCAGTTCTCAGCCACTGGCCACTGGACTTCTGCAGCTTCTGCCTGCCCTGTGCCTGCCAGCTTATCGCCAGGCCCGAGGACCACCGCTGCAGTGGGCTAGGCACAGGTGCAGTGCTGCCCTCCTTTACCATCTCCCTGCCTGTGCCAATTCTGCCACCCTCCTGTGCTCTCCACACAACGGATGGCATCTGAAGGAGCTTACCCTAGGGAATCACCTCTACCCTCTGTACTGGCTCTTGGGACAGCGATGCCAACTCTGACCACCTCTGGCCCGAGCCGATGTAACTCTTCTCCTTGGTCTAGTTCTTTCCTCTAACTCCTCTACCCATTGTCTCCACAGCTTCTTTTCTCAGACCCACTTTCTCCTTCTCACACAAAATAAACGTCCTAGGAAAGGAAAGGCCTTCTCACCTGTTGGTGCTCCGGCGGTGCACGTGGCAGGAAATCCAAGCTCCTTACGACACACTGCTATCCCACCCCATTTCCCCAGCTCCGGCCACAAGGGCCCACCCCAGCAAGGGACTCCCGGCTTCTGTGCCTGGGAGCGGAAGCTTAGTCTTTGTCTAGCTCCCAAGTCGAGCTCTTCGTGAAGCATTTTTTGTGTCCTCTTCTTCCACCTCAGACCTGTGCTGCTGTCCTCCCCGGCCCCCAGACAGCCAGAGAAGCCTCTGCGATCAGGACGACACTTCTCACTTGGGCTACTCTTAGAATCCTCACGCCTCACACTCGGAGAGAATCCATTTACAAAATGCTTATTGCAAACCCTCTGTCCCATTTGAGACAAAGTGTATAAATATCAAGGAAACAATTCTGCACTTCTCTAACCATTCCTTGTTTGCAGAGTGCAGATACATAGTTCATGACCAAAGAATTTGTTATGAACGTCTTGTATGTGTAAAGCTCACCATTATGGTCTGTCAGTCCTTTGGTAAGCTCTTGTGTCTCTAATCATCCCATGGATCTCCCCTCCCACCCTGAAGAACACAACGATCATGGAATAGCAAAGTGGCTCCATCACAACAAGGTCTACAACGATAATCACATATGTTCTAAGCCAGAGCTTCCCATTTGACTGAGCAAGAAGGCAGGAGTAAGAAGCAGCTTCCCACCACGTTGGTGTGGCTGGGCTGGTCCTGTCTGGCGTGGGAAGCCACTCCCATTCTCCCACTCTGAGCACATATTATCATTCGAGGGAAGCACTGAGCCTCGCAAACACCAGAACTCTTCAAGTCACTATCCCGCTTTTCCTTGTCTCAGGATTCTATGGACCCTGGACACTGACGTAAAACAACCAAACAAAAATAAGAATCCAAAGCATCAGGGCAGCAGGTGCAGTGGTAGCAAAGCAGCGATCCTATTCATTACTTCCTGATGGGTGATGTGCGCAGAGAACCTGAGGCCAGGCATCACGAGCTCAGAGGACAGAGGGCTTTGCGATAGTGTCACTTACCGTTCCAACCAAAGGGTAGATGAAGCCGGCCCCGATACTGGCCCGGACATCACTGATGGGCAGGATGAAATCTCGTGGCACACCTTTTTGGTCAGGCTGGTGAGACAGAGACAGGTGGGTCTTCGCCATGCATATGGGCAAATTCCCAAAACCCTGCAGAAAAGGAGAAGAAACGTGCAGTGACGGACAGGTCTCAATTGTGCAATCGCTGTGGCAACTGAATGATGGCTCCAGGCACACATAGTAACTACTTGTTATAAACAGCCCTTCCTTCCCCACAGGGGCCCATTCCAGTGCATGTATGAAACGGCAGGTGGTACCAACATACCTAGGCTAAAGCTTAATTCCTAAATGGGTTCAGTACAAGATGAAGTAACAAGAGCAGTAAGAAATCACACAAAATAGACCCATTTTGATAATGTTCTCTTATAATGGCTATTTAAAACTTTATAAATTATTTCTGGATTTTTCCATCTCATATTTTTGGGCTGTGGTGGACCCTGTGTAATTGAAATTGTATAAGGTGAAGCCACAGATGATTGTTATGCTAATATGCACAGGCATGAGCAAGCAGCCGAGCAGAGAACCCACTCCGTGGACACGGCTTATTGAGTAGGCTGAGGGGTCTGCTGTTGACTGTGGAGGGTCTGTTAGAGAGGGCACAGGGTCAAGGGCACGTTTTGGGGAAAGCCCAGCTATTTTTGGACCAAACGGCCATGGTGGTGGCAGATATTAAGACTTAATATCTGGGATGCAGAAAGGTAAGCTGGAGGCAAGGCTCCGTCATGAGGCTTTTTGGTTCTGTGGTTCACTCATTCTTGGAATCCGTCGAGACCCCACAGGGCTCCTTTGTGCTGGTTTATGAGTCACAGTTATTTGATCTGTGATTACATTATAGGAACTGAGATGAGGTCACTGCTTAAGCCTGTTATTTCTTTAAGGACCAAAGTCTGTGCCTGACCCAGAGTGCCAGAGGTGAAAGGGCGGGAAGTCCCATGTGATGTCCGACACAAAGGACAGTATCCTGGCAGCCTGGTTCTGATGAAACGGCACACAGTGTTCCTTCAGAGACCGTGCTAGTGAGCTGCAAGTGCTCACTTGACATGCAACTTTTAGGGAATATTCCCTCGGTGGGCACAGAGGAAAGAGTTACACAGGCTAGAATTTCTTATGATTCAACCCCAAACTATCTGGAGTCCTTGGGTCCTTGTTCTTCTTGAAATCTCTACCTTTGGATGCTAAGAGGATGCTACTAGGCGTTTTCCTTGGTGTATCTGTGTGCATGGGGCAGGGGGTGAGGGAGGGAGGAATAACCACAGTTGCTTTACAGAAATGGTGCCCAGAGTTTTGGTTATTGAAAAATCAAACACTGAAGTATTTTCTATGAATAATGTTGATTTAAAAAAAGCCACATACTACGATCTTCTTACTTCATAAAAGGCAAACTTAACACACACACAGGCAGGAGAAATGACTTAACAGCAGGCGACATGATACTTCTACACTGCATTCCTCATGTAGGAAAACAAATAAGGAATCCTCAAAGGCTACGACCTTCTTTTATGTGGTTTATTGCCCAGGGGTGAGCATTTCGCCAGGGAACAATGCCAGAGTGTGGAGCAGTGTGTGGGGCTCCTTTGACAGGAGGATAAGCCAAGGGCATTGATGGGAAACTCACAGAGAGATTCTGTTGCACCCTACACTCACCATGGGACTGGTCATGTACAACAGAAACAGGATTAGGATGTTGGGGGATTATAGGCCAACAAAGTAATGCTTCTCATCATGGAGCCATTTCAGGTGGCAAGGACTGATTCCTATCTCATCAAACTGGGTGTCCTTCTGTGGTCAGAGTGTCTAAGCAGCCCATGATGGAGCTGGCGTCCCAGGATCACAATGGGCCAGATCACAACCACCATAATGGCTGCTGGTTCACCTGCCTGTGTCACCCCTTACATGTGGAACGTAACCAAGCCTTCGGCCTTGCCAGACAATCCAGCAACAACTAAGGAGCCACCCGCAGGGGAAGAAAGCAGATCTTGCCCACACGCACAGGCTGTGTTGCTAACTGCCTACCTTGGCACCCTGCTAATTTTCAGAAGGCACCAAAAGATCTGTAGTGAAATACCACAAATCATCTAAATTGGGTCCCAAGGCTGCACCCCACATGGCAATTTCCATATCTCTGGCTGAGGGGGAGGAGATTACAGATGGCACATCACATACAAACATGGACACCATCCACAACCACAACCACACAAGCCGGCGATGCAGGTAGGGGAGAACTCGTCCTTCACCTCACCAGCATGTTCTGGATATAGTTAATATTCTGCTACTTCAATCTCTGCTGGCTACAAAGAAGAACGAAGCAAAGTTCAGCTGGTGAGGTAGATGAGAATACTTTCAGAGAGTTTGTGTAAAAATCCAATTGAAAGGTTTATAGTTTACATGGGTGCAAAAAGTGTGTATATCCTTGCGAGTTTTTCTCTTTAAAGATATATTTATTTCTGTATGTATTGGAAAGGCAGAGTTACAGAGACTGAGCAAGATCTTCTGTCTGTTGGTTTACTCTCCAAGTGGTTACTGTGGCTAGGACCAGGCCAGGCTGAAGCTGGGAGTCTGCAACTCCATGTGTGCCTTCCACGTACTTGGGGAGTGGCAGAGGTCCGGGCATATGGGCAGCCTCCACTGCTTTCCCAAGTGCACCCGTATAAGTGAAGCAATTTAGACTTGAACCAGTGCTCAAGCCTGATGCTGGCATCAAAGGCGATGGCTTCACCGGCAGTCCCACAAAGCCAGCCACTGTTTTTTTTTATGATATACATTTTCCATGAACTTTTTAAAGTCCTTTTGTATGTATAGATTTCAAAGCCTTTTGCACACAAAAAGTTTATTTTTAAATTCCACTTCTACCAACTTTTTGAAGTCCCCTGTTGACCATAGGCCCTCAAGTCAGAGACAGTACTTTGACAGGCTGAGGTGGATTCTTTCCTCCAGGTGCCACTCTTACCTGTTGAGTATAACGATCTATTTTGGACTGGGCCTCAGGAGAGAGTTCAATATCTTTGGCTCCATAGACAGCCTGGGCAATCTTTCTTATCTTTTCCACAATTGGAAGCTGGAGAACACAAATAATAACAACATTGTTAACTTTAATCTAGTTAGAGAACTAAGGGGTAGCTTAATGAGATTTCAGAACAGCTTACAATTCCCTACCAAGTCCCACCTCAAGTACAATATCCATCCTTACAGTACCAAAAATTCCAGATCAGATGTTATCTACAAACAAGAAACCTCAGATGGTCACTCATTTTAGAAGTTGCTTATCTAGTTAGCTACTTTTATCCCTTGCAGCATTAAAAAAAAAAAAAAGATTTATTTGATTTGAAAGGCAGAGTTATAGAGATCTTCCATCTGGTTTATTCCCCAAATGGTTGCCATGGCCAGGATTGGGCCAGGCTAGCCAAGAGACTCATCTGGGTCTACCATGTGGGCAGTAACTACACTGCCCTTCCAGGCTATTAGCAGAAGTAGGGTCAGAAGTGGAGTAGCTGCAGCCATCATATTGGATGCTGATGCTGCAAATGGTGGTTTAACATGTTATGCCACAACATTAGGCATCCTTTGTAGATTTTTTTTTAAAAAAATGTAGCCTATACTATGCTTTTTTAACAGTCTGATACATTAGAACAGCAGTCTCCTAGTGGAATTGTTACTGCTGCTTTTTAAGTAGGTCTAAACACTGGTTCATGAGATTACACCAAAGAAGGCAGCAGTACTAAAGAACAAGTACATTTTTTGTTAGGTGGAATAGCATGACATTTTCATATAGATGTTGATGTGATTGAACTCTACTGGAAAGATCATGGCTGGATCTATTCTGTTTTAGCAAATAATGAGAAATCAGACAACATGGAGAAAATGTGAGAAGATTAGGCATGGGCAAATAAGTTTGTAGGAGCGTGACTTCTGTAATGCTAGATGGAAAACTCGGAGGCAGATTACCAGTAAAATATGGAAAGTCAAGTTAATAAACTAGAATAGTTCAACAGAAAAGGAATATAGAAAGTGTGTCTCAATATAAGCCAAACCTTTGACAAAGCCATTTCTAATTTTAGCGTGGTCTGAAAAGCAGTGGCATAATGCAGTCAGTGGATTTAGTGTTTGATGAATGACTCCTGAACTGTGTGCTGATGGACAAGACCACATAACCAAGGGTGTATATTCCTCATGGATGTCTTCCTTCCACTTCTTGTGCAGGCTTCAAGAACTCTGTGTGGCAATGGTAAGTGTATATTTTTATGAATCACCATTGCTAGAGGCAGAACAGTTACCCAAGCGAAAAGACAGTTCTCTTCACTATGCAGCAATGATATAACCCCAGAGCAAAGCAACGCATATTCTTCATTGCTACACTTTCACTTCTGCAGAGATGTTCTGTGCTCTGGAACTTAAACACTGGACATTTCAAGAAGCAACAAATAACAAAGAAACAAAGGTACAGGACATGCTATAGGCTTTCATTGGAGAACAGAAAAAGTCTGAAGCAATGGAGAAAAACACTTTGTTTATAGAAGAAGAGACTCAATGTTGTGCAGATATCAACTGTCTTAAACTTCTCCTGTTAGTTCAATGCAATTCCAATAAAAATCTCAAGGGTTCTTTGGGAAACTTGGCCAACTAGTTCTCAAACTCAGAATGAAAAATAATGGCACAAATATGTACGATAACTTCAAAGATACATAAAAACCACAGAACAAAGAAGAACCACTTCCCTACAAAGTATTAATCATACCAAAAGACTATGTTAATTAATTCCATGCTCTACTGGCACAGGAATAGACGAGGTAAGCAACGGAAGAGAACAAACAAGTCAGAAAGAGACCTCAGCAGGTGCGAGGCTGAATACAATAGAGATGGACTGACTATCCCATGGCCTGGCCGCAGAGAAACGTGTTAGATTCCTATCACATACCAAGCCCAAATAAATCCAATGTGGAACAAAGGTCTCCACTTGCAAACCAGAATTGGAATTATTGGCAAAAAATATTAGGAACTCTATAATTATAAGGCAGGAGAGGATTTCTTGAATGAGGTAACAACAGAGTAAGCCATAAAGGGGATGACTTATAGATTTGACACCATAGTAATAAAAAAAGCCATAAACAAGGTAAATGGGTAAGGGACTGTAAAGCTGAGAGATGAATACTAAAAATGAACCTTAAACAAATCTCCCATCTGTTACAAGAAAAGTATTTAAAAATGCTGATCTCCTTAGTAATCAGGAAAATGCAAATTAAAATGGTGAAAGCTCACATCCTCGGGTTCCACAGAACTGAAAGGTATCATAGTATCAAGCACAGAAGACACATTTGAAGAACACGTTTCTTCACTGCAAAGTGAACGGACTGGCTCAAGGAAAGCTGCCTAAGTGGTTTCTTCGGTGCTGACACGGCCTCTACCCTACTGTAGTATGCTTTTCATGGAAGCATGAAACGGGGTTCATGCATTTGTGCAGTGTGATCTGTGGCAGCCCATAATTGGATACATCTCCATTTCAATGTCCCCCTAATCTCTTGCTTCTGGGCCTTACACACCTAGTCTTCAAAGATCAGCCTCTGCTCCCACTCTGAGCTCTCTGATCCCATCCTCCAAGCCCCTTCTCAGGGGTCACCTTCTTTGCAGAGGGGGTCCCTGTAGGCACTGCCCAGTGTTTTCTTTGCCCTCCAGTTGTCCGTGTGATGCTCCCACCTGCTGACTCATGATGGAGGTTCCCAGGGCTGCCTGGCAGAGCTCCAGTCACCTGAAACCTCCCTGATAGACCTCAAGGGGTGACAAGACTCAGAATATTGGGCCTGACCGCATTCTGAGCCCAAACTCGCCCGTAGGGCAGGAACTTTTGGAAGCCATGAAAACCTGAAGGGGCAAGTGTGAAACAAATCACTGTTGTTTTCCAGGAAGGCACAATGTGAACCAAGGGATGAACAGAAGTTGGAAGGAAGTAATTTAAGGAAGCAGTGAATCAAAGCTGCCTAACCAAGCAAAGACTTGTACATTTTCGGAGACTTCACTACAAAGACAGAGTGCCAGGAAGGCACTAGACAGAATTACTGCTGTGAGCTCACAGATAATTCACAAATTTCTTATTTAATTTATGGGAACAGCAGAGAGTTAGAAAGCTCCTATGCCTGGATCATTCCCCAACTACTTGGAAGGCAAGAATTCAATCCTGGTTTTCCACACTGGTGGGAGGGACCCAATTCCCTGGCCTACGCCCTGCTGCCTCAAAGGGCGCACCAAGTTGGAAGCAGGTGCACAGACAGAACTTCAACTCAGAGACTCTGGTAGGAACTCTGAGCGTCCTCTCCAGCATCCTCACTGCTGCATCCAATACCCGCTCCTGGATAACATGTAAAAGATTCAATGTTCATCAAAAGATAAAACAAGTCGAGGTGATGATGGGCTGCAGGATAACGAAAGGTCTTATGACACAAGATGCAACTCTGAGTCATCAGGATGTACTGTGCTGGGCACCGGAGGGTTCACTGTGGGCACTACACTGAAGCCACTGTTGTCTGCTTTGTTGCTTCTGAGGAGCAACCCTCTGAAGAAATAAAAGATTACGGGATGCTAGAAGGCACTTCTAGCAGTGAAGAAGCCACCCAGCAAGAGCCAGGACCCTGCCCGTGAGTTAAAGTTGGTGCTGAGGATTCTGTATTCCCTAAAAAGGGCATGCCTGCAGTTGCTGGGAAACAGGTGATGCTCTCACAGCCTCCAGTATCTCTGTGGGCTCTAAAACAAGGGAGCACAGTGGCTGCAACGGGGCAGGGAAGACAGCCCCTGCCTGCAGCCTGTGACCGCTCTGAGTTTCATCGCTCCTAAGATGAGAATGGAAACATGGTGCTGCACAGTTTACTGCAGGCATGGAAGCAAGGCTGCGGAAGCAAGGTTGTTTTCCTAAATTTTATCTATTTGAGAGAGAAGGAAAGGAGAGAGGAAGGGAGGGAGAGGCACAGGAAGAGATAGAGCTCTTGTATCTTTTGGTTCACTCTTCAAATGCCACCAAAAGCCAAGGAAAGGCTTGCTCAAAGCTGGGTGCTGGGAACTCCATCCAGATCTCCCATATCGGTGGAAGGCATCTCGAGCCATCACCTGCTGCCTCTAGGGTGTACGCTAGCAGGAAGCAAGAAGCAGAAGCAAAGCTGGGGCTCAAACCCAGGCCCTGGGATAGGCGATGTGCACATCTTAACCTCTAGGTGGGAAAACCATGATGGAACTACCATACTGTACAAACTAAGTATTACTATTACTGAGTGAGGGCATTAGGATTGACCAAAGGAATGATTTTCTCTGTAAGTACAATAAAATGTCAGAAGCGATGCTTCCATTTAAACATATTGAATGAACAGAATGCATTCTTTAGTACACTTTAGATTATGACTTTTCAATTAAGATAATGAAGACATGGGAGCAAAGCAACAGCAAATGGATGACGAGTATAGGCATTACTGTCAGTGGGATCAGGCTTTTTAATTACTACTACTAATATTAAATATTAATTCACTTGAAAGGCAGAATAACAGAGAGGGAAAGATTCTTTTCCACCTACTAATTTACTCTTCAAATGGCCACAATGTCTGTGACTGTGCCAGACTGAAGCCAAGAGTCTAGAATGCCATCTGGGTTGCCCACATGTGTTGCACAGGCCCAAGAACTTGGGATATCTTCTGCTGCTTCAGCGGTGGAGCAGTTGGGAATCAAACTGGTGCTCATATGGGATGCCAGTGGCTTAGGTGGCAACCTAACCCACTAAACCACAATGACAGCACCTGATTTTCTATTTTTAAATGTGTAAATGTTTTATATCAAGAAATATGTATCCATTTAAAACATCCTTTTTTTTTTTAAAAAAAAATGTTTTTACTTTACTTGGAAACCAGGGCTACAGAAACAAAGAGGGAAAGATGGGGAGAGATTTTCCATCCACTGGTTCAACCCCCCAACAGCCACGCTGGCCAGAGCTGGACTGTTCTGAAGTTGGGAGCCAGGAGCTGGATCTCCAACATGGATGTAGATGTTCAAGGGTTTGAACCACTTTCTGCTGCTTTCCCAACCCAT